GTGATCTAATAGGCGAGCGCCAGGTATTGCTACCCAATACACATGGCAAAGTGCCAAGCGGCGTCGACGAGACTCGCCGCGAAATGGTGTCAGCAGAGATGAGGAGTAACAGCCGAGCCGATTTTTATGCGTTTTTTACATCTATGCAATGCAAAACCGTATATTGTCGAGGGGTTGTTTGTATGTGTGTATGTATGTGTTTGCGTCTGTAGCGAGTTTTCATCTCGAGATCCAGAGAAGCTACAAAGCTGGAACTTTGGTAAATTAATCTACACATACTTGCGGGCCCAGCCTTCAAAATGGACGTTCATGTCAGCGTGGTTATTACGTACTGGCACGTGAAAATTTTTTTGGTATGAAAGCGTTTTCGAGAACGGTGCAAGCTAGGAGGCTGATGCTTCGCAGAGATGTTCTTTGGCTGCGCCTAATCCAAAGATTTGAAAATCAGTCTTTACACATTTCTATTTCTCACGTGCGCACACGTTAAAATTTAAATTGGCATCATGCCGACTCCAGATTTAAGCTGCTCAGGAAGTTCTTGGAGACTGCAATTTTGCAGCGTTACTTGTCGCCCAAGGTTGTGCTTGTGAAAGTAAATTGAGCCTTCTAGCCCCACTGTATCACACATACGGACACATGAAAGCTTCACGCAGACATTTTTGTAACTTTAGAATTGAAGTAGCTAGAGGGCTGGGACTTTCCGAGCATAATTGACGATGGCCTTTGACCAGATGGACGTAAAAACGACTTTAGCTTCATGTCTCACGTACACACACGGGAAATTTTTTTAAAACAACTCCGCAACCGGAGCAGCTGGGGTGTTGAAGCTTTCTGAGCGTTATTCGGGACCGTGTTTAAGCAAAGCACGCGAAGGCAGCATTTACGTTGCTGCTCACGCACGAACACGTGAAACTTGACGTTACTCTGCAACCGAAGCATCGAGAAAGCTAAATTTTTTGGGCATGGATTAGGAGTCATTGTGATAGTTTCCAACAGTCGTGATAGCTGCTATCAATTCTTTTAGCTAGAACCATCAGACGGAAAAAATAGTGCCATTAGGAACAAAAACCTGCGGACAAACTGTGCAAAAAACGCATCTTCGCGCCGACGACTAGTGCGCTTTCGACTAAGTTGGTAATTGCCATCAGTGTGTTTATTTCTGCATTTCTTTTACTTTTAACTCAGCAGTCGGAGAAGCTGGGAAGCAGAAATTTCTAAGCGTATTTCTGTCCTGTGTTTGATGTTCCGTTTTTGTGCGTTTTTGCTTATATGCAAATGCAAACCCAGGCTGGAACGCACCAGGCTGCGATCATGCGTTTTTGCACTAAACTCGGAGGTCGCTATTAGCAAGAATGATCCTTACGCTGTAGCCTAACACCTGGGCTCAATTGGCGGTGCTTTGGCCCTTTCCGGCATGCAGGAGGAAGGGCGTCAGTTGGGATGAAGGTGCTGTGACAAGAAGGTGGTGCATTATAGAGCCGCACGGATATTCAGGTGTATGATTACTGGTTTTTTACATGAAGTCTGGTCGTATTTTCCGTAAATGCTCGCTTTGTGAAAAAATGAAAAATGCAAATTTTTTGCAAAAATACAGATTTCCAGTTCACTAAAAAGTGGAAGTATTGCTCGAGCGGTCGTTTGTCAAAAAACCCATATTCATTTACATATTACGATTGCGGTTAAAACCCGAGCTGCGAACGATTTTTTTGAAAATATGCAAATTTTCAGTTCACTGAAAATTAAAAGTATTGCTCGAACGGTCGTTTTTCAAAAAATCCATGTTCATTTACATATACAGTTGGGGTTCAGGCACGAGTTGCTAACGACTTTTGGATTGAGGAGCTGCTTGAGGCTGTGGTTGGGGAGCTAGGGAGCTGAGTTTAAAATTTTTATCTCGCACGTGCATAGAGAA